CAACGTGTGGCCCCAAATATGTTGAAATTATCCAACATTATATCCTTTTATTTTGGTAGAAAACCTCTTGATGGCCCAAGCTCTGCAAAAAAAAATTCACTATCTCTATCATCTAATTCCTTTAGTTTAAGTAAATCCACTTAACATGACCAAAATAAAAAATTTCTCAAACGGAAATACCGTCTTTTATCTCTTTTTGAAGACGCCAAGATGAATAAATGGATACTATATAAGGAAAAAAAAAAGTTATGTATGTATGTCAATAATCCATTTTGTCTAAATGCTATAATGGAGTCTCGTTTGTGCTGGCGTGGAATGAAAATTCAACAGAAGACTTCGTGAACGCAAGCCAACATGGGAAGAAAGTTCTTGACATGCACACTACTTTTGGTAATTGAAATCCAATTCACATTTCTTTGATTTTTTTTTTACAACAAAATGGAGATTGTGGTTTCTTCTCATGGTGTGACCCATCTATGTGTCATAGACATGTGAAGATAATACTTGATTTTCTAAAATTCAAGAATTTGCACGAACAATAAGTCTTGAATTTGCAGAGATAGAAGACTGCTTTTGAATTTAAAAGTTGTTGCTTTTTTTTTTTTTTTTTAAATGTGGGTGTATTGTGACGTGGGTATTGAACGGTGAAAATTAGAGTTTTGATTTTGTTGTTATTTTGGGTCATGGATGTTAGTAAATGTTGTTTCCATTAGTACCGCTATCATTTATTTGGTTTCCCATTTAGCGATGTGTAATGAAATGTTCTGTTGTCATAGGACTTCCAATTTTTTGGTTTTTTATTTTGTTCGTGCTGATTGTTCATGTGTATCGGGGAAAAATAATTGTAGGATTTTTGATCAAATGTTTTTTGTGAAATACCCCTTGGAAATGTTAAAGTTTGTGAAATCAACCCTGAAAATGTGAAACTTTGCGCAACACAACCATGGGCAAGACAAACTTTGCACTACACAATCCTTGAATGTTTAACTTTGAGTGGAACAACCCTGAAATATATCAAATTTAACACTTCAGTGACATCAAAAGGAACCTGCTTCCATCCTACATCAATACATCAGCAACAGATTGCACTAACTAGCATTCCCACACCAACAAACTATACATTAACAAGACGACCTAGCAAAAGCACAAAATCAGCAAAAGCACAAAAATAACAAGCACAAAAAACTAGCAGAAATATATAAAACGGCAGAAGTAGATTACAATAGTAAAAGCACAAAAAACATGTAGATTACATTAGCATAAGCGAAAAGAACCAATGGATTACATTTCTCATCTATCCCAATTGCAGTCAACAATTGACATCTGTATTCAATTTTCAAAAAATATCCATCTAATCCACACCCCGATCACCGTATCCTGTTGTTTGTTTAGCCTCTTCGCGTTGTACATTTCCAACACCAACTTCATATGTTAGGGTTTCCTCAAGCTGCGACCACACATTCTCTATACTTTCAGATAGATATTCACCAATATTATGAGGGTGTTTGGAGAGGAATAAAATTAGATTTTTAGTAGATTGTGATAAAAGTTTTTGAAATATGTGGTTGAAAAGTTGTGGGACAAAGGTGTTTGGTGAGGAATAAAATTAGATTTTTAGTAGATTGTGATAAAAGTTTTTGAAATATGTGGTTGAAAAGTTGTGGGACATATGAAAGATGTGGTTAATATTAATTGTTTAAATTTGACTTGAATTAAAATCTAATTTTAATTAACACCAAACAGGGGCTATGTTCCATTTCTCCACTTTGAGTGCCATCTAATATCGAGATGTAGCCATCTTTACACATTCTCCTATCCTCATTTTGCACACTATTCCCGAGATCATCAAACATAGGTCCTCCTTGTGGTTCGTTTGAAAGTTCATTTGGTTGGTGAGGTACTGCCACGTATATCTCCACCAACCCGTAGCTGATAATATCCTTCAACAACTCCCTCACATTACTCGGTTTATAAAACAAAAAAAAAAAAAAAAAAATCCCCCACCATGACTTGGTATTGTGAAATAGTCCATATATTAGCTGCACGTACATTAAAAAAAAAAAAATTTACGACATTTATAATAATACCATAACCATATAACCTGATAAAAATTGTTATTACAAATTGATATACATTATGGAATTAAAACTATATCAAAACCCACAACAATCAACAAGCATACAATTAAGAAACAATAAATAGATCAACAACATGTAAAGTTACTCGTACAAATTGATTTCCGAAGGCATAAACAAAACATCGTGATGACAATCTTTCAGTGAACAAAACCGCAAAAATCATGGGTGATTCTGGATTGTGCCTTCGATCGTGAGTTTCTTCTCTTTTGACTACATCAAACGAACAACACTTTAAGAAGTGGAATGAAGGGAAATATAGTATTGTCCTTTGAGAAATTTTTAATTTGGTCCTTTTATGTGGTTTAATGCTTAAACTATCAAAATTGGACGACATAAAGTATTATGTAAAGTTTGGACCATCAAGGATGATTTTGCACCAAAATTAAAGGATTTGGAGGTGTTCAACAAAACAGGAAATTTTGGACCATCAAGGGTATCGTGCCAATTACCCATTTATAAGGATTCGACGAAAAAATGAATAGTAAGGATGTTTAGCACATATGAATTTAATTAATCTATAATATATTAAATATCACATCAAATGATATTATTTTTTGGACTATTATAACCTTACTACAATTCAATTACTTCAATAATATCTTACTTTTTTAAATATATATTTAATTTACAAACTGAAATAAATATTCCAAAATCCTTATTTATACATGTATTCTCAGTTATTAATTATTAATTAATTCACATTCACATTCACATTCACATTCAAATCAAGTTCACGTGCATGTCCTTGTTATTAATTCCCAATTAATTAATATTCACATCGATTTAATTAATATTAAGTTCATTATTCTCGTCTATGTGTATTAATTAACATTCAGTTTCACTTAGTTAAAAATTAAATTCATTTAATAAAAATGATTTAACATTCATTGTCACATATTTATTATTTGGTATTAATTTTAAATTATTTAACATTTATGTTAATTCATGTATCGTATTCGTCATTCATCTTCATTTATGCATTAATTCTAGTAGTTATGTTCAAGTATGTATTTCATTATTTATATGCAATTATAATAATTAATATTTATTTTCACTAGTTTAAATTTCTTTCACACTTAAATCAGAAAGGTAAATTGATGGTCAAATTTTATTTTTACATCACTTAAAAAGCATTTCATGGGCTATGCAAGTTGAATTTGACTACCCATTATTTATAAAAGGAAAATTGCAGTCGATGTACTAAACCTTTCATTTATTTACGGACTTTGTCCAAACTTTTAATTTGTACCATCCAGGGTACAAAACCTTTAAAAAAATCACACCTTTAGTCCTCGTTGACGGTTTTCATTAGTTTGACATTAAAAATTGTATGTTGACCCCAGTAATTAAAAATTTAATAATTATTCCCAAATAAGCTAAGGGTATTTTGGACATAATATATTTCTCATATTAAATCAAAAATTTAAAAACCAAAAAACTAAAATCACAATCCACCCCTATCTCCTTTCTTCCACAATTCTCTCACCACCTTTAAACCACCCTCAACCCGCCGCCTAAGCCACCGGAAATTGCCCCGCGTAACGACATTTTTGCCCCCTCAACACACTCTAACAAACTATTCACACAAACATTACCAATTGAGGAAGTAATCAATGAAAATTCATCAAGGATTGTATAAGGCCTAACCTCCGGCCAATTTGATGGTTGCCAACCACCACCCATTTATCCCCCTACACATGATGACCAACTTCATAAAACAATTTTTGGCCAAAACAATGCAGCAACTGCTTCTTGGGAATTGAGGATCAGCCAGAATACTGCACAGCTGCTTATCTATTTCAATTGAAGGGTCCCACGACCTCAATCTACCAAATTCGACCAGCCAAATCTAATTCAAGGCCAGTTGACAATAGGTAGGGAGCCAATTGTTAAAGAAATTCTATCAAATTTGAGCTCTAAACTTGCGATAGGTGCACATTTAAACCTCTTCGAGCGGGACCCACCACATGGAACCACCACCGTTGAATTCTGAATCATCCAAAGCCCCTACGGTGCCAATGCTACATTGCTACCGACAAATTTTCATCAAAAAATGCACTTCCAATTTTAAGCTGCTACTAGCGTTCCAGTTGAAGATGGCGACCATTAGATGGATTGGAGATGAAGATTTGGTAGATGTCGCCTAAACTATAAATTTAGGTGGTACCGACGTTAGTGTCGGCGATGGCGATGACGTGGCATCCGGCAGCAACTGGTTGAAGTAGTTTTGATTTTGGGTAGTGAGAGCGTTGGAGAAGGAGATGGGGGTCGAGGTCGGGGTGGATTGTGACTTTATTTTTTTGTTTTTTGATTTAATATTAAAAATATATTATATCCAAAATATCCTTAGCTTACTTGGGAAGAATTATTAAATTTTTGATTTTTGAGGTCAACTGACGATTTCGTGGTCAAACGGATGGAAACCGTTAATGAGGATTGGAGATGCGATTTTTCTAAAGGTTTGGTACCCTGGTTGGTACAAATTAAAGATTTGAGTAAAATCCGCAAATAACTGAAAGATTTGGTACCTCGACTTTATTAAATGACGTCTCAATTGGTGGGACAATAGAAAAATCAGCAGTGCCCCGCGAGTAAATATCCAAGTCTTCCCTTCCCAGGAAGCCTTTCCCTCGGTGCAACTTAGTGTACTGGTGAAAGAGTTCTCGCGAGGCCAGTTATCGATCCCTAATTAGACGGTAATTACTGATATGCTACCTTCCTCTTAATTCTTGCTATTTTTTTATTTTTTTATACAGATTGACTCTTTATTCAATAGTCTTTCAAATAAGAGTCCTTTGAATTTATAATTTGATTGTACAATCAGATAAAAAAACGTATTTTTTCTTGAATTCTTGAATTAAGATGAATGCGCTGCAGAGAAGTGGATCGGGTTCAATGGCGCAAAGCCCTAGATCTTCAACGTCACAAGCGCCGTATTTAACTGTATCAGTCACTGATCCAGCTAAAATGGGCAATGGCGTCCAGGCTTATATCTCCTACAAAGTTATCACCAAGGTACTGTTTATCATTTTATGTGTCTCTGTGAGTTCGCGCATGCATGCACAGTTAGCAATTTTCTGGATTGATTAATTTGGGGCTTGAATTTATTGGGTTTTTAATTATATCTGAAATAATCACAAAATTTACCTCCACGAAAATGATGACGTGTGTGGTGTTCCGGTTGCTCAAATCAACGAATGTTACCTGCAAAATGAGGTCGGGGCTTTGTCCCCCGTTGTACCTCCGGCGTGAGAATCAGTAGTCGGTTTTAGGGAGTAAACAAAGAGAGTAGTCGGTTTTAGGGAGTAAACAAAGAGTATATGAGGATCAATAAGTTCGAGTTTTTTAGAAGCCAAAAAATACCTTTCCCCACATTGGGGTATTTATAGGCACTTGATGGCACTCCCCCCCCACTCCACGATTAACTGTGCCACGTGTCCCACGTATGCCTTCCCACTTCCTCACGTTCTATAGCGTTGACCCCCACTTGTATTGCGGTTGGTCATGATCACGTTTGCTGTTGGGTGATCTTCGTTTATCTCAGGCCATTTGTTTGGCTAAGTATAGCGGGGGTCGACGTCGTAGGACTCATAGCGGTAGACGGCCCCTGTGAGCGTAGAGGACCTCCGGGGGGTCGACGTCTTGGGGGGGTGCGTTAAGTAGCGACCATCGAGGAAAATTGTTAATACCGTCCTATATCAATATTTTTCTTTCTTTGAGCTGGAATATTTACTGGAACAGGTAATGGCCTTTTCTGTTGGTTTGAATAAATAGGACTGTTGCTGTAATTACTGGACCTGAAAATGTTTTTACCTTGTATTTCTAGAGAGAGCACATGAGACGAGATTTATGTAGTCTTCGAAAGCAAACAAGGTGACATGAACAAAAATAAAATTGCTTTTGCAGTCATCCAAAACTAAATCAAGGGAAAGTCTAAGAGAGTCTCTTTTGGACTCTTCATGTTTCGGATGTTGGACAGTTGATAATCGATGGGCAAGATGGAGCAGAGGTTTTTGTGTATTTTAACCAGGGTGTTAATACATAAGTCTTGTTTACACTTCAAAATCAACCTGATTGCCTAGGTTGAAATTCAATCTTTATCTTGCTGAAAAGGTCTGAGTATTGAGTATATCTAGGTTAACTTGCTTGTGAATTTCTACTTTCTGAACACAATTGTTTCGTATTATACCAGCTAATTAAAGGTGTGAAGTAGACTGTTCTTTCTGTGGTTGATATAAGTATGGTCATGAAGAAGGATACAAGTAGGATCAGCAATGAAAGGACATTTGCCAATTAAAGGTGTCATACTTGTTATTCTTGAATTTGGGGGATCGACTTTGGTTGAAAAGTAATAGATGAATTTTAATTAGCGGCCTTTGATTTTATTTGTGCCAACCATCATCATTCTTAAGTCTCATTTCTATACGTTGAGATTTCATGACAAGGTTATCTAGAGTTGCTTGAAAACTAAGATTTGGTGCTATATTTACAGACAGTTTTGTGAGAGTTGGAATATTTGGAACATTTCATGGCAAAGGTCATTTATTATGATTTGATGCCATATTTACAGGCAGTTTTGTGAGAGTTGAGAGTATTTGATGATTGACAGTATGGGATCACTTTAACTTCGGTCAACAAGATAAGTGATGTGCTTTTTAACCTTATTAATAGTAATTGCAATAATCTATAATATATTAAGTATCACATCAAGTGAGAATCATTTTTTGGACGATTATAACCCTACTACAATTCAATTATTTCAATAAAACCTTACTTTTGTTTTCAACATGTATTTAATTTACTAACTGCAATAAATATTATAATTAATTCTCAATTAATTAACATTAACATTCATATTTATTTAATTAATATTAATTAGATTCACGTCCACGTCCATGTAATTAATTTCAATATTTTAAAAATCGATCTGAAAAAGAGAAAGAGTCAAGGTTCAAAAGGTTGAACTGGGGTTGAATCGAGATCGAATTGTGGTTTAAAAAAAAATTAAAAATATACATTTACAAAATTTTAAAAAATATATACATTTAAAAATTTAAAAAATATATACGTTTAAAAATTTTAAAAATATATATACATTTACATAGGTTAAATCAGTTAAAACAAAAACAGGTGACGAGTTTTCCAAAAATTAATCGATTTAACGGATTTTAGGACAGGTTTTTAATTATAGATTTTATAAGCCTAACTAGACCGATTTTGGTTCCGGTTTCCTTTTTTTCTGTTGACCTAACTATTCCGATTTTTAAAACACTGATTAATTCTTAATTAATTATAATTTATATTCATTTAATTAATATTAATTAAAATTTTACATTCAATAATGCAATTCATTATTCACGTCCATGTATGCTAATTTATCATCAAATTTCATGTAATTGAAAATTAAATTATATTCATTTAATATAAATAATTTAACATTTGTTGTCACGTATATATGTTCCTTGGTGTTAATTCTAAATTATTAGCATTCACATTAATTCACGTGTCGTATTTGTAATTCATCTTTATTTATTCTAATACTCACATGTAAGTATGCATTTCACTATTTACATGTACATATAATAATTAACATTTATTTTCGGGGGGCTTGTATTTTTCTCATATTTAAATCAAAAGGGTAAATGTGGAGTCAAATATTACTTTCACATACTTAAAAATTATTTCAGAATAACGTGCAACGCACGTTCAATTGTCACTAGTTTCTCAAATATATTGGTTAGTTAGGATTACAGATGAATCTGGCCAGTAGCTCAGTCAGGCCAGCTTTGAGCCATTTTATGGCTCATCAAGCTGAGTTGGAGCCCAATTTTGTCGAGCTCAATTTGTCAAATGTTGGTTTACCTAGGCTGTAAATGAAAAAAGCCATCGTAAATAGCTTGATGTTAGGTTCAGTTAGGCTGTAGTTGTGCCTGTATTTCTTCTCTTATTTAGTGAACCAACTGATCGTCAATGTACTATAAACACCCAATTTTTGTTCCATCGGGTACCTTAGATAATAGTTTCTTCATAAATTTTATGCAACACTTTTGGCTTAATAATGTTGACAGATTGAGGCTTTCTATTTCAAACTTGACTACAACCTTAATTTAAGTGTTGTTGAGACAAATTTAAGAAGTATCTTTGAGCAATTCATGCTATTTTGTTTTAGTTCTTTCAGTTGTGTTTGTTACATCGGAAATTGAAGATTGCCATTCTGTAGAGTTGACAACTCTTATTTAGTAATAGTAGGCTCTTTTTTTCATGCTGACGCATTCATAGACTTTTATCACATCATCCTGAGATGGAAGGAAACTGTCAACATATAATGGTGGGTTAAAACAGTTTTCATAAATGATAAATTATCTAGCATTTGTCTAATGATCTTGCACTCTTACACAATAGGATAAGATAATGGAGGCTTAACAACTGGTACTGTGCACCCATAAACGTGAAGGATGACTTGAGGTGTAAAGTTTAGCTTCCTTCAAGCGATAAGGCTAATTCTTGTGAAAATAATAATAGTTCTTAATGAAATTAATAGAAAAATGGAAAATGATTCATAATATCATTTCGTGATGATTTTGAATGGAAGTATTTTGTGAGGAAGAAATTAGAACCACTGTATAATATTACATCAAATTTTTATGCCATCCTTGATCTTTGAACGTGAACTCAAGCTACTTAAAAAGTAGTATAAAGTAAACAGATGAATAAAAGAACAATTACACAAGTATCTCATTGTTTAGCCTAAGATGATCGGACTTGCGAGAAGACCAATTTATGTGGAAAATGGTTATCTGAAAAATTTGTGGCCAAGTAAAATATTTTGAAATCTTGTTAACGGGTGTAATCAAATTTCCTCGGTTTCTCTTCAATGTACGGATTTTCTGAGTATTATATTATTTGCAAATGTTATTTTCTGAAAATTTGCATATTCTTAGTTTCTGGAAAGGTTTATCTGTGATCAGTATAGACCATAAAAATTACACAACAGGATCTGTGAAACTGTGCACTCCATCATTTATCTTCTGGATGATTTTATATAATTTTTCATCATTTATGAAATGGCTTGTATATTGCAGTATGTTTCATCATTTACAATAGAGTGGCATGTGCCGTGCAACCTAATTTCAAGTTCATATGTTAGGACTTATATTGACAAATTTTTGGAACTTATTTTGGCAGACAAATTTTCCCGAATATCAGGGGCCTGAGAAAATTGTTATTCGACGATATAGTGATTTTGTTTGGTTACGTGATCGCCTTTTTGAAAGGTACAAGGGTATCTTCATCCCTCCTCTTCCAGAGAAGAGCACTGTAGGTAATAATAAAATTTCTCCTCCCTCTTCACCTCAGCAATTGAAGAGCTGTTTATTTTAGGTATTTAATAATCACTTTTCTTAATAAAAGAAGGAAGGGATCCTGTTATATAGACAATCTAATCGTTGTTTCACATATTTGAGGTTCTTTAATGCCATTTATTTTGTATCCATGTGGTCAAACATGCCAGCTCATTTTTGATACCCACTATATAGAATTCAAATATGGCTAATAACTTCCTGTTCATGGAATCACACATATTCATTATTATTTTCCATGTCTGGATGCATTTGTTAGATTTTTTTGTGAGTGCACGCAGTTTTTTAAAACAGCTATCCGTGGTGTGAAGCTTATTTGAGGTGGAAGACATTGCATAATTTGGATGCTTTTTGAAACTATGAGTTGTCTAACATTCGATTTCTTGTACAGAGAAGTTCAGATTTAGTGCTGAATTCATTGAAATGAGGCGTCAAGCGTTGGATGTATTTGTCAACCGCATAGCCTCACATCATGAGCTACAGCAGAGTGAGGACTTGAGAACTTTTTTACTAGAAGATGAACAGGTAGCATATCTCTTTTTGGTGGCTTAATTTATCTGCTGCACACTTTTGAATAGGAATGAACAGTTTGATCATATAACATATGGTGGAAATTTATTTTTTTCCCATTTTGAGCTGAGAAATATCGATTTAAATGTTTAACTTGAAGTGGCATTACTCAGAGGTGAAGCAAATTATGTACTAGACTATAAAGACGATGGTCATACGTGGCTCGAGTATTGAGGGACATAACACACTTGATGTGCCAGTAAGGGGAAATTATGTGTTCGATGAAATTAGGGTTTCTATCAAATCTGAGTTGGTGGACATTATACTGGTTCAAAAATTGTTGAACAGAATGCTACTTCTGGACAAAATAAGCCTCTCCTTGTATGCAAAGTGGAAAGTGAAACTATCATGTGGATTTATATTTAGCTATTGTTAATAGTGTCATTTATCTTAAACAGCCTGAATAATATGTTAAAACTTTTATATCATATAGAATAGGAAGATTTGAATTACTTCCCAGCTTTTGCTGGCACGTTCCTGTTACCATTGATGCACAACTATAATGACAGCTGAAAATATGTTTTCCTTCTCTTTGTCTGGATTTGTTTCTTTTACTACTTTGTACTTATCTGATTGCTTATTTTTTATTTATGTATTTATTTTTCCTGATTTACAGACGATGGAAAGAGAGAGGTCTCAGGAAACTGGTATTTTCAAGAAGAAGCCAGCAGATTTTATGCAAATATTTAAGGTGACTGGTCACCTGGCTAAGAAAGTTAGATAATCGGAAATAGTGAATGTTATAGTTAGCAAAACCAGGGGAAAGAGATGTTAGTTTGAGGTTTAGTGGTAACTATCTCTGCCAACAGATAGAGTAATTAAGCCAATCAACAAGCCAATTGCACAAACGCCTTGAAAACTACAGTAGTCACCTTGTTCTTACTCTGACCAAAGGGGGGCTTTAGCAACTCTGAATGATTTTGCATATTACCTATTTCTCATTAAGAAATGTGAACTATATCCCACTGTCCGGAGACCCTTATGGTTGAGAATACAGAACCAATAATCCTTGTAGATTGCTACCTTGACCTGGTTGGTCAAACTCGGCCTGACTTTACTGATGATAAATTTCATAGTCTGTTTTATATTGAGCTTTGTAATAATTTTCTTCAGGAAGTTCACAGTCATGCCTATTGGACAAGTACCCTTTAAAAAAGGATATGGTTTGAAGTCGTCTGTCTTATTTTGCGTTTATTTTGGCAGGACGTACAATCTAGAGTGAGCGATGTTGTTCTGGGAAAGGAAAAACCAGTTGAAGAATCAAATCCGGAGTACGAGAAACAAAAGAATTATATTTTTCAGCTTGAAGATCACTTAGCTGAAGCTCAGAAGCATGCATACCGCCTTGTGAAGAGACACAGAGGTATTTCTAACTTTGGATACTAATTATCCATACGCCTTAGATTTGAATTATAAATTCCTTTATCTTCTTTTCTTTCTTTTCCTCCCTACATTTTAAAGTCGAATCATATATCACATTTTTTGTTCACCGTCATCATTTTTGTTTGGGTTCACCCTTCATATATCTCTATGCTCGAACAATTTAGTCTCTCATACCAGGCTTTCTATGTGTAATGCAGAGTTAGGTCAATCTTTATCAGACTTTGGTAAGGCAGTCAAACTCCTTGGAACCTGTGAAGGAAATTCTCTTGGAAAGGCATTTTCTGAGCTTGGGGCTAAATCGGAGTTGCTGTCAATTAAGCTGCAGAGAGAGGTAAATTATGCATTTAAGATTAGCTAGTTCTTAATCATCCATTTTAGTTCAGCATTTTAAAGATTTCCTAAGCCAATGAGTCGTGTAATTATATGTGCACTCTGTCGTGCTATTAGGCTCACCACCTTTTGATGAGATTTGAAGAACCTTTGAAAGATTATGTTCGTGCTGTGCAGTCTATTAAGGTGAGTTTTATGGCTCATTTGACGAGAAATAGACATGCTGTCATCATTCACAGAATCCGATAGATTTCTTCTATGAGAATTTACGGTGTTAAGTAATTAATATTGATTTATAACGAGTATAGGAAATGAGTATTCAATGGAAATAAGAAAATTAAAGATGATGGGATTGCTGAATAAGTAATGATGATAGATTGTCAATATTATCTCACGTGTACAAATATTATCCATCACTCTTTTTGTTTCATATTCCTCTGTGTGTGTGTGTGTGTTTTTATTTATTTTCATTTTGAAGCTGATGGCTCCTCTTGTTTCCAAGATAGGCAACAATAGCAGAGAGAGCAAATGCTTTCAGGCACCACTGTGAACTGGCTGAAACAATCAAGTTTAAGGAAATAGATCTGTATGGTTCTTACTCTTTGCTTCTCTTGATTATTATGGTCGCGATAATGCTATGACAACAACTCCCTTCAGTTTGATTCGCTTGTTTTTGTAATGTAGCTCCATTTGTTTGGTTATGGATAACATTTATAACTAGCAACATTTCTTATCTTTTTGCCCTTCAGTGGTGTGTGCTATACATTTACTCAATCTTTTGGAAAATCAACAGTACAAATTTGGGAAAGTTGCATTATATTTTGTACGTCAGCAATGTTTCCAACCATTAATATACCCATGTTGAAGGAACTTCAAATACTTTTTACTATAAATTACCAAAAGAGAGCAGTTGGCGATTCACATTTCGCATCAGGAATTGATATTTGTTCTACCTATTGATACACCCTAAATTTTGCCCCTGTTCGATACGGATTAAAATCAGATTTTTAGTAAATTTTGATAAAAGTTGATGAAATGTGTGGTTGAAAAGTTGTGGGACCCAAAAAATATGTTGTTGAAATTAATTGTTGACTTTGGCTTAGATTAAAATTTGGATTTTAATCCGTACCAGCCTAACATAGTCAAGAGCAGTTATACAGGTTTTGATGACTTTTCATTTTAATATCATTAAGCAAAAATGCTGAAGCATGTCTAATACAATCACACGAGGATTTTTCTTTGAAATTCTCTCAATTTTGTAATTTCAAAAATATGAAGAAATAAATTCAGTTGTTCATGCTTTTAGTATTGAAGATCTTATAGTTGAATTTCATTTGGCAGTTTACACCTCTTTCTATGTTTATGTATTTGTTCACAGAAACAAGCTCAGATTGACACGATCAGAGAAGTTGGCAGATGCTGAGCGTGAATATGAGCAGGTTAGTCGGTTTTACATTGGCATTTTCTTCAACTATCTGGAATCTTCTTTGTCCAGCTGATATTGATTGTGTGATACAGCTAAAAGCTGATGGCAAGGAGTCGAAACGAAAATTTGAGACAATTGTTAAATTAATGAATGAAGAGATTGCTCGATTTCAAGAACAAAAAACTATTGATATGGGTGTCGTATTTCATGAATTTGCCGAGGGTCAAGCACACCTAGCAAAAAGTATAGCTGAAGCGTGGCGAAGCCTTCTTCCCAAGCTTGAAGCTTGCTCCTCCTCCTTAGAGACCCCGGATGCATAACAGAATGGGGCTTGTCAAAGAAGAGCGCACAGATGTCTTATGACTTGTGACGTGATTACCAACTCACACAGTTGGTTCTGCTGCTCCGTGTTCTGTGAATTGTGGCAGATTTCCGAGTTAAAAAAATTAATGTACGGACCGAAAGAGAAGTGCAAAAAGCTAAAGTGAATCTTCTGGCATGTTAAGATCTGATTAGTTAATTATACTTTTTCTTTAATTCATTTTTGCTTAGTTTCTGATAACACTGAAGTGGTGAACTTGTAATGTTGTTTTAGTAGCTTGCTAATTTTACAATAAAATGTTTTGAATTTGTAAAGGTAAAAATAATATCATGGCACAGGCACCAATGTTCATTGAAGGGTGTATGCAAGCAAGGTTTGCAGTGTGCCTTGTAAGAACCTTGTCGAAACTCTTTCTAATGCTTTTTGCATTTGGGTGAAGGATGATGCACTACGAAGAACTACTACTCAAATGTGGGCATGTTAACATCTGTGCAGTCCTTTCGAATACGATGTGTGCACAGTTCGAGACGATATCTTAGCCATATTGAAAAATAAGGATTAACCTATTTGTACAATTGTAAATTTGTAATTGACAACATTGATGTTGTTAGAATTTGGATCTTTGTTTTGAAAAACAGTTTTTAAATGAATGAATGTGACTTGTCTATTAAAAAATTGTAGAAGTACGATGATTGAAAAAAGAATGGCTTGGCCTTGCCTAAAGATTTCTTTGCCATGATAAAATGTAGGTTGCATTTGCATTGGGTCTTGGTGAGCAAGTCCACCGCAGACGAGATTAGTCCCGACTATCAGTATAGGGGTTGCTTATGGATGATGGCTCATAATGTTAATGCTTTTAATAGTAAACTCATGTTTGTGATCCATTCTTGAATTTTTATTTTTTTAAATTTCATTCTCAATCACGCATCACAGTAAATTCAAAACTTTTCTATTTTTTAATCATACATTTTTCAAAAAATTACCATTACAAAATTTATTTTTCCTAAAAAAAATAAAATAAAAATGGAGCTCAAACAAACCCTAAGTCTTAGACTTCTAAATTAAATTAGGTTATTAATTTGTAAAATATTTACTTAAAAAAATTATTTCATGTATATTTGCTAATGCAACTACATACTTTTAAATAGTTAGAAAATCCTCTTTTAGTCTAATATATTATTATTTGTACGAGCTTGGTATTCATCTCCAAATGACACGATGATACATCTCCAATTAAAAATTAAATACAAGGAATATGAGAAGACCGTTGAGAAAAAAATTAATCCCTGTTTGTGCTACCTTATTTTCTCATTAAAATGAAAAATATGGCTGTTATTCATCACGTCAACATTTAATTTCAAATTTTCTATTTCTTGTGTGGGCCCCAATAACAGCTATATTTTTCATTCTCATTCTACAAAAAGGTGGCTCAAATATGACTTTAATTTTGATTCTTCGAGAAGTACTTTTTGGTGAATGTATAATTAAAAAGTAGAGAAATTATGAATGTAAGTGCAAAATTATTTTATTAGTAGAATATATGGTTGAAAATGAGTTCATATTTGAGCTCTAATCTTAACTCATTTTGAACAATACATTCTTCTAATAAAATAATTTTA